TTTTTTCTTTGTCCCTTCTCACAAAATACTTCAAAGCTTTAACAAGCCTCTTTTGTAAATCCAAATTGGAAAATTATCCAGGCCACTCTCTTCATTTGTTATTTATATATACCTTTTAATTATTAAGACATCAACTCGTTTCTTTTGTATGTCCGGTGTAACATCTTTTTCCATATCATTCTTGTAGCCTGTCATTTTTAAATCCACTTTCAGATCAATCTCAATCTTGTCAGGTAAAACTTATTCCTCTTTCATAACGTCTTTGAAACATAGTCCGTCTATACAGTCACTCTTAAAATTAACTTCTGGATCCATTGTTCAAAAATATCCTTCAGTAGGTCCAATGTTAAAATATTTTGCTTCATTCTGTATTAGTAAGTCAAACTTAAGAGTTCTTTTCCTTTAATTGTAATCTTTAGTTCCTTCTGGTTCCCCCTAGTGTCCAACCTTCAAAGTCTCATCCTATCTTATTTTTTTTAAAAAGAGAATTCAAAACAAGCATTTCCTCATGGGAAGGATTCTTATAATTAATTCTAAAATCTTATTTCAAATCCATCTGGACCCTTAATCCATTTGTAACTTTCCAAAATCAAAATTCTAATCACCCTTTTGCTGTTTATTCCAAACAAAAAAGAAATGTTTAAGTCCTTAAACTTGTATTTAAAACTTCTTTTGCTAAGGATTAAAGGAAATTCACCCAGTGTTTTCAAACATGTTGATCCAAAGGTTCCTAATAGCTGAAAAGCAGTTAACAAGCAATTTCCAAAAATAATTAGAAAAGGAAGTATTCAAACCCAGTGCCCTTTTGAAGGTGCCAACTGTGGTTTAAGCAAGATGGCTATTATCTCACCTCCCAGAGCTGTAAACCCTTTGGAGACTGCTGTCTTGTGGTCTCCTCATGAAGAGGAATTGTATGGAGCACTTGTGGACTATCTCAAGTCCTCTTCTTGTCTGGAGAGGAATTACGAAGCACCAGTCTACTCGTCAGCTCTTCATTCTGCTTCATTAAGTTTAATGAAGTTTAACTGTATTCATAAATCTTACATTAATATCATAAATATTTTTCATTCTTTATTTCAGTATTGTAACCTGATATAATCCTTATAGCCCCTCACATTACCACCAATTTTTACTGGAAATGAGGAAGTTTTAGTGGCTGGACTAAAGCCCCAGACAAAGCCATACACGTAGTCCTTGGGGTACAATGACAATTGGGACTAGGATTGTCATCACTAAGTGATGTGGTTGTAAAGTGCAATGTCATGTGACGCTTAGCAATGGCAATCCCAGCAGCCTGGTTGCTGTCATAACCCCAGGACTGTGTGGGTCGTTAAGCAGGAAGAGGTGGGAATCCCAGGCAAGGGGCTGCAGGCGCACTACACAAACAGCTTACAAAACTCTTGAAATCTCTTTCTCTCCAATCTCTCTGCTCTGTGAGGGAGTTAGGGAGAAAAAAAGCAATTTCTCTAGGCAATCTCTTCTTTGCCTGACCCTTTCCCACTGTCAGCAGGTTCACATTGCTCTTGATGTGGAGAAGAGCAAACAGCTTACTCTCTTGAAATCTTTCTCTCCAATCTCTGCTGTGATCATGTGATGGAGGGACACTGCAAAGGTGGTAAATGGGCTGTAAAGTTATTTTTTCAGCACCATCATAACTTTGAACATTCACTGAGCAAATGGTCAGTAAGCAAAGACTACCTGTACTATAGATTAAGTGTGGGAACGAGCCATAGTCTAAGAATTACAACACTGTTTGGAACGAGTATTTTTTTTTCCTTGCTTCTATTAACACTGAGCATTTCTGTTGTTCCTAATGTTCTGTTTCTATGGGAAAGCTTTGCTTTTAAGCAGCCTCACAATATCTCTTTATATCTTTCTATAAGTTGTTTAAAGATCTCTTCTGAAACCTCTCCTTCATTCTCTTTTCAGGATCTCATCAACTCCATTTCTCCATCTAAACATGACTTTCCTGGTCTTTCCCTTATTGTTGATACATTCTCTCTTCCTTCACATATTTGTTTTGCAACTCAGTCCTTATTTATTCTCTTCACATGACCAACCAAACTTCTTTCATAGTGCTCATTCACTTTTGTATTTAGTCCACATTCATTCAGCCCCCATTCATTCTGGTTCATATTATTTTACCACACGCATTTCTTTTGTATCCTACTTGCACTGAAGTAAAATTCAGCTTGCTTTTATGTTTCTGTTGATTTATAGTTCTCACTTCCACATAACAAGCTAGACCAAAAAAAGCTCTTATATGTGTCCCTTGACATATTTATTCAGTCATTCAGTCATTTATCAAATTTGTCACTGCCCATCTCATGAAATAACTCTGGGTGGTTTACAATAAGATAAAAATTCATTAAAATGCAACATAAAAAGAATCCTAAAAGTAAATACATTCCAAGAAGATAGAAAATTGGCAAGTAATTCCAGGGAGCATCATCAGGGGGCTAACCACCCCCAGGTGCGGGTACAGCCCATAACACCACATGCACACAAATACTAATTCCTCATAACTTACCACATTAGCATCTGCACATCTTAACATTTCTCCATTTCCCCATCTTTAGTGAACAAAGAAAGTGCCTTTTTAGCTCTATTTATCCACTTCCAAAACAATCTTTTTATTTCCATCCAAATTTTTCTGTCTCTCTTTATTTGGCTTATATCATGCTCCAATAATAATAGAGTCTGCCTCTTTTAATCTTTACCATCCCTTGCTCTTTCTGGCTATATTCTTTGGAACTATCTTTTTCTCTAAATGTATAACACAGTATCTTTCTGTCATTTTCAACTTTTGCAGAAGTTATTCTATTAAACGCATTTTCCCCTCATCCACAGCCTCTTTCAATGCAACAGCATGCATCCTTTTTTATACTTCCCATTCTTTGTACAATTCTGTAGCACTCTGTAACAAAATTCTTTGCTTATGTTCATATTTCATTCATTCTAATGGGCAATTATTCTATTGTATAAGATTTCTCCATTCAGAACTCATACTATCTTCTTCTGCACTCATTTTATTTTCAAGTCTTATTTCTTTAATTTCATTTTCTTCCAGGTCCATTTTTTCTTAGATCCACTCTTGATGCTATTGAAAAACGGTCTTTCCTGCATTCAGATCACCTTTGTATACTTCACTAATTCTCTCAGTCTCATCATACATAATTAATTGTGCCCTTAGATTTGCATTAATTCCTTTGCCATGTGAGTAAGCTTATGCTTAAACCATGTATTTGAAACAAGCAACCATTTTCTAAGCAGGTACTCATCAAGCAGTCATAAGTGTCATTCATCTTGGATTGGCAAATGGTCAGATCACTTCATCTGTATTTTCTTATCTCATTCCCATCCTTCCATTCATATCATCTAGTAGAATAATTGTTGCCCTGGATTGCATTCATTTAGAAAGTTGCACAATTTCCCTGCAAACTCATATCTGGTTCTTCCATTATTTCCTTCCAATGGAGTATAACATGCAGCTGTTCTCAGCCTCTAGATTCCTGCTTTCATACACATCCATGACAACCTAAATAACACCAAGTTGTACTTTCTGACATACATTTAGCCTATATATTCATAGTTAAATCTACACCTTCATTTCCTTACATATATTCAACTCTGCTCCACAAAATCAGACCATATTTAGATTTATTACATTCTTCTCCTTTCTCTTAATTTCTTTGACACCCAAAATATCTGTTTCCTTCTTTTACTTCATGTGTTAATTCATGCTGTTTGTCATTTTATATTCTAAGTCACAATCGTCTGTATATCATGGTCATTGCCAGAGGGGCCTATAGATACTGACTTACGTCCATCATGAGTTTGGCCTATCAAGGCCTTCACAGAGCTTTTAGTACAGTAGAGAAGGAATACACCACCATCTTTAATTATACCTACGGCCCATGGAACGTTCCCTGCTGACACTAATGGCAGTACTAATCAGTTTTCGTACATTTTGGCCAGCATGCCAACAGTGCAACAAAAGTCTAGTTCTTCCCCAGGTTTGTTCACAGTATTCTGTGAAAGCTAGGGTCCCTACTCTAGAGACTATTTTATAATCCAACATAGTTTCCGACAGCTCAGCAACTTGGAGGTATGTGCAGTGTACTGACACACTCAGGGTGTGTTAATGTCATCTACAGGTAAACCTTGCTTAGCAGCTACCTCAGGCAGCGACTGTTCAAAGTTACAACAGTGATGAAAAAGTAACTTTGTGACCAGTGCCCACATTTACAATCTTTGCAGTGTCTGCTTCTCAGTCATTGCTTGCCATTACAGTCAGTCAGTGCTCATCCTGTGCCTGACCCAATTTTTTTTCCTTTTTCTCCCTTTGCAGAGTGGAGAGATTCCCTAAAGAAGCGATCTCTTCCTGAGCTGCTTTTCTCTGCAGAATGACTCTAAAAAGTGCTAACTGCAAGTTAACAAGCTCAGCTCTGTGACCTTAATTAGCAGCTGGCAGCTACTGCCAGTAACTGACAAGAGTTTAATCACTTTCACACCTTTGGCTTTTGTTTGCCCCCTAAGCGGCTCTGGGCTTGGACCTGCTGTGAGCATGCTAGGCAGAAAGTCAGCACTAGTGCATTTCTTTCAATGTGTATTCTCCATTGTGTGCCTGCTAACTCTCTTGTAATCCCATCCTCTCCAATGAATATAAATACAAACATTAATTCCTTTCTTGTTAATTATCCCAGTGCCAGGGTGAGCATCCCAAAGGGTGGGGGAGTAGGGAAAAGAGGAAGCTGAAGTAAAATTGTAAGCACAGTCATGGTCATGTGATTTTCCACTTAGTGACCATGTCACTTAGCGACCAAGTGTCTGGTCCCATTTGTCGTTGCTAAATGAGGACTACCTCTTAACTAAGTATATCTTGCCTACTCTTTTGTTTTCATTATTTAAAAGAATATCACTGGAAGCAGATGGGAAAAACCCTGAAAATAGCAAATGTACACCCAAGTGGGTTCATTTTGGGTCCCATCAATTAAGCAATGTCATATAGCAAGACCCAGGAAGCATGTTTTCTTGGTTGCAATGCCTCCCCTCTGGAATGATATCCCTCCAGAGATCCAGGGGACTCCTACCCTGATGATGCTCAGGAAGCTATTGAAGACCTGGTTATTCTCCCAGGCCTTGCAGTAGGTTGATGGTAGAACCCCTGATGGATAGGTTTCTGTTTATATGCCTATCTTCAGGCCACATATGAATCTTTTTTATATATATTGTTCTACTTTTTCTTTACTGTAAGCTGCCCAGAGTCACCAGGAGTTGGGCAGCCTCCAAACTGCGATAGGTAGGTAGGTAGATAAGCAAGCAAGCAAGTTTGGTATCCCAAAGTTACTGTTTTAGAGGAAAAGCTTCTGTAGCTGCCTGGCTAAAAGCTATGTAATCTCTGCTCACATGCTCATAGGCATGTATTTATATATATGTACTGCAATTCACTCCGAACTTCTGGTTTTACCTTCCTAGGCTAGACAACAGCAGGCAGAGCTAGCTCAGCAGGAATGGCTACAAATGCAGCAAGCTGCTCAACAAGCACAACTTGCTGCCGCCTCAGCCAGTGCAACCAACCAGGCAGGATCTTCTCAAGATGAAGATGATGAAGATGACATCTGAAATGTTCTAGGCTGAGCTTTCAGTCCTCACAAAGAAATAGTTGTCCTGCACAACAAAACCAGTGAAATGAATGCTTGCCTGTAACTTTGTCTTCATCTTGGACCAGCCATTGGTATTTTAGGGATGTCTGCTGTTGTGTGCTGTACATGTCAAAACTGTCTTTTTGAACTTTTGAGGACTTAAGGTTCAGTATCATATCAACTTTGGATTTTTAATGGTGTTTATGGAAATTTTAGACAGCCGTGCGTCATTTATTTGATCAACAGTGTTACAATAACGTTTATAAAATATAGCAGAATTTATACAGAAACTCTAAATTCACACTTGCATTTCTCTTCCCTTTTAACCATAGAATCTTGTGTAAACATTTTTAATTTGTGTTTTTGAAATAGAGCAGGCATTTAATCTGCTTTGGGGAGAAAAAGCAAAGGGTTCAGTGTACTTTGGATTGAATTCTTTGTCTTTTAAATAAGGAAAGAGATACATGGCAATAAATAACATGTGCTTAATATCACCAATCTGAGAAATAATGCATTTTTGCCAAACTAGGAAAATGTATGTTTAATAGCAGTTGTACAGATACATGATTTTTTTTTTGTATGGGGTAAAAAAAATAAATAAAAATAAAACCCAGAACTTTATTATGATATTGATTCAGTGTTCTGAACAAAACAGGTATTTCATTTCAAATGTTCCCCAGTTTGGAGAATTAAAATGGTTCTTGTTTAAAAGCTGTTTAATTTTAACCGTAGATGGGATTACACACATTGCCTAAGCATGTTCATACACATGCTGTTTGAAGGAAAAGTAAGGTTTGGAAGAACAGATTTGTTTTTAATTCTGTTTGATGAGGAATGTTTAAATAGGACTATGAAAGCAAACATTGGAATTAATGTGCATGCTCACCGTCAAAGGAATCTTTAATTCTGATTACTTAAGTGTCGTCAGCACAACGTTAACAGTTTTTCAGGCTAGTGTAGCAGTAGAGAAGCTTTACCTTGACAAACTGATTGCTCCTACATTCAAGTAGGGGACTAAATAACAGCAATTTAGTTGCAAAGTTTAGTTTGGTGGCTTGAACCTCTAGACTGACCAACAAAACCTGAACGAGAAAAATCTTTTAGGGTGAGATTTTTTAAAAGAGTAGTACTTACATAGCTATTTGTGTTGGAATAAAGAATGCTTTACAGTTTGACAATATACTTGAAAAATGCATATTTTTCTGGTACTCTTTTGTAGAAGAAAGATGCAATCTCACATCTTGCATATTAATACATCAAACATTAGAGTGATAAGATTTTGATGGCTATAGAAATGTGCAATGATTGAAACTGAAAGGCAAAACCATCCTATCTGTAAGCAGAAGACTAAATTAGACATCAAATTAAAGTCCTGATTGCAATTTAAATTTTAAGGGGCTTCATGTGAATTAACTTGCATCATTATTTATACACTGGTTACTGAGAAAAATGTTTGAATGTTAAGCTGAAAAAAAAAAGATGGATTCAGCTTGTTAAGTATTGGGACAAGATCTTATTAAAGATCTAATTGTCATGAAGGTTGATGTACCAAAGGTAGAAACACTAGGCTAATGAAACTATGTTAAGGTGCAGTGTTGGCTTTTCTAATCTGTACTATAACACCCTTACTCTTCCTGTTTTAAATGAAACTTTTTTTTAAGCAAGAACATTTTCTTTTCTGATGCAGAATTCAGGTTAATATTTTACTGCATCTGGCATGTATCATAAGTTTGAATCCCTGCAACTTTTCCTTTGGACATTCTTGTGCTTTTTCATATGCTGTATTCCTCAAGCAATAAAATTCAAATGTGTTTTTATATTTAATGCTTGAATGTTCAACTTTTTATTTGTAATGTCATGGAGAAGCTTAATATTGTTCAAATTTGGACCACTTACGCACATTTCTTACAGCCAAGATGAAGTAACCGAAGAGATGCTCATAAGAGGTCTTTTATTAGGGCCAGTTCTTCAGAGTTTATGGAATTTTCTCTTAATCACTCTTCCCCAAAATATATTCTACCTAGTTGCACCACTTGCATTTTTGTTCATCAGTTTAGGTCTCCAATGAAGAACCTCATTGCTTTAATTTTGGGAGTTTGTGAAAACATTACACACACACACAGACACAATATATTATTTCAGTATTTTAAAAACTGAACTTTCTAGAAGTTACTTGATGTGATCCAATAAATTCACATACTGATACTTCCTCAGCAAGAGCTTCCTATTTTGTGTAATAAAGGACATTCTTTTACAATGGAGGCACTGGAGAAGGTATTTCCCAATGTCTAGGTGATTGTCAGCAATACAGGGATAATTCTTAACACTGAATCTTAACACTGGTGCGTCTTTGAAGATGAAGCTTAGTGCCTCAGGCAAGGATTCTGGGGCTAGATTATAGCCAGGTTTTGAGGATAATTCTACAGGATACTTTTCATAGGGAGAGAGATCCACATAGGATGGAATTGATGGTAGCATATTTTGCTGGTAATGACTGATTCACGCTAAAAAGAGTCAATTGTTTTGCAATCATTGGAAACCTCAAAATAGGTTGAGCAATGACATGCAAAATTGTAGGTTGTGCTGTGGCAAACAAGCCTGACAGCCTATTCATCAAGCACAAGCTATAGCTGTAGCTTAATGGTAAAGTGGTGGAGCAAAGAGGGGGAGGGGAATCACCTATATTTTATTTTATTGATCGGAAACTCTTAAGAGTTCCTATAGCAGCAGATGTTTTAGACATGGAAAGTCCCAGATATAGCCCAAGCATCATCACTGGCTCAAAGATCTTGATCTGGCAGAACCTGAAGACTTCTACCTGAAGCAGGATGGAGAACCTGACCTACTTCCAGAAGCCTCAGCCAGTACAGCCAATGATGATGGACTGCTGGGAGTTAGTTTAGCAATGCCTGCAGGGCCACATGTTCCCCATCTTTGAAGACCTAAACATTTGGAGCATTATTGCCACTAGGAGTAGATTGTGCTAGACTGTAATCCGAACAAGGCTGTTTCTCTTTTATAGCTTCAGAAGGTGCAGAAAAGACAGTAATGCATAAGCTGTTGGCCCACTAGGTAGACCAGACCAGAAAATCACAGGAAGAATAATACTATACAGTCCTGGCCAAAAGTTTTGAGAATGACACAAAGATTAATTCCCACAAAGTCTGCTGCTCCAGTGTTGGAAGATGGCAATGTACATATACTCCAGGATGTTATGAAGAGCGATCAGATCAATTGCAATTAATTAGGAAGTCCCTCTTTGCCATGAAAATGAACTTAATCCCCAAAAAACATTTCCACTGCATTTCAGCCCTGCCATAACAGGAGCAGCTGACATCATGTCAGTGATGCCCTCGTTAACACAGGTGTCAGTGTTGACTAGGACAAGGCTGGAGACCACTCTGTCATGCTGATTGAGTTAGAATAACAGACTGGAA